TGAAATTCAAAGTGCTTCATCCGGTTGGATTTCTCCACGTTACGAGACCTGACTGGGCTTTATCAAGAGTTGTTGCTGTGCTTTATTGTCACGAAAGATCCCATTTTCAGCCTAAAGATGACTTGCCGCCAGCTGCAAATTGACAATGCGCCATATTTCCTTGCAAGTCGGCCTATATTAGCGGTAATTCATTGGATCCAGGCCTCCCTGTAGCCACGCTCCGCGGTGTCGTCGGCAGGTAAATTTGAACAGCGGGATCCGCGGCCCTCGCTGGCATTGTTTACCGCGGAGGAAAATGACTAAATATAGGATGGCGGCATTGCCAGCTGCTCACTCCTTGTCAGTAAAGTCGACGGGAGTTTCTCCGCGGAAATATCTTGAAAACACACGATAAATCCAGGCTGGAGTTTTGAAACTCCTTAACAACGATGGCGTTCACCATTAGCGAGCTAACGGCTCGTGCACTATCGATGATTGCTCTTCTCCGGAATATCGGGGCTGCTCTCTGGCTGCGGGCGGCTGCAGCAAAGGTTAATTAATGAGCAGTGGCAGGAGCGATGGCTGCTGGCGAGGGAGAGGCTCTCCCGGGACTTGGATTCACCGGAGGCGAGAGATAAAGGTGGAAAAGGAAAGGGTATGACTACTCAGCTGAAATGGAGTCCCCCTTTTCTATCTGGATAACCTCCATGAGAGAAAAAAGCCGCGTGATCACTTAGCCAAGCTCAGCGCATTGGAATTAGATTATACTGTTGCTTATCACCATTTGCTCTGTAAAAAAACGTATTTCATGCGGTGATTATGCATCGGTTATAAAACATCAAAGATAATCTACAAGGCAACCTTCCTAGCTTAAATTAGTTCTGCAAATATGCCTCTTGTGATCAGACATCAGAAGGATTTCATCACATCAGAAGCATACTTGTCTTTGTGGTATTTTCAGATGTGACAAATTCGTTAGGGGAAAAAAACCCTCTGGAATGATCCTGAAATGTTCAGTCTGTAAGGGCCCGTTAAACACATATCTTCTTTAGTCTTATTCCACACAAGACATGCGTGATATTTACGTGGAAGAAGGAAGAAGCACTAATGTTCTTATTGTGCTCAGATTATCTGTGAAGATTAATTTTTTCTATTGTTCAATGCATCTTTGTTTTACCATTTAAACACCAGGCATTAAGCATCATGATTCCTTATTTTAATTCATTTTATTTTAATTCATTTTACTATAGGTTTATATGAAGGAACACGTTATTCCCTCATGTGAGCTAATGTGAAATGAATGATTGATGAATATGGAACAATCTACACACACTGAGACACACACTGAGCCTCTCACCTCAATGCATCCTCTGAAAATAAAAAATGAAAACATAATTCCTAAACATTTCTCTAAAAGTTAGAAATGTTTTTGCTTCAATATTTCATTTCTTTACGTCTTGGATGATGCCTAAAATAATCAATAAGGAGCTACGAAGTATCTCTGCATTCTTTCTTATGTTCATCATTCATGCTCTTATTCATTGCATTATGTAAATCAGGATGCTCCAGAAAACAGAACGAATCCTGGTCTTATGGGTCCTGTTTTTATTGAACACATAAATAAGTCAAACACTGAGCCTGGATGCAAAAGACTTATGAAAATGCAAAAATGGAGATTCTTCAGGTAATTGTTTGCATTAGGAAATGTGAGGGAACATAAATAATACTCAGGGCGCTCTGGTTTTGGTGCCTCTCTGGTTCATCTCTGTACCTGGTCACAGCTGACTGCTCATATCTCTGTTCAGATTTTCTGATTTCAGTAGGGCAAATATAAGTCGGAGAGTGAATTTGATCGATAATAAACCCAAAGATTATCATTATTGACAAGTGCAATAACAAAGCTATAACAAAAGCCACAACAAAACTGCCTTTTTTTTAGATATAAGTATATCTATACACCATTCAATCAGTCTGGTGCCACATTGCACACTGAAGGGAATTTAACTTCTCCAAACAAGACATGATCTGACATGAAAATATTACATCAATACTGGCAACATGCTTTTTCCCCCATCTCTATTTTTCCTGGATCATGTGTGAAACCATTAATTATGTGCCCTCCAATCAGTCACATATAACTATACTAAATTATGATGATAAGTTTCCACATATTACTGAAATGAAGTTAATATTAAGGGGGGTGCTGCAGGTTTCCCGCAGTCTGCTGCTGTAGGTGATAATAAATAGTTAATAAATGGTGCTGTTGCCCTGCAGAGGAAAGGATGTGCGATCCATGTGGCAAAAATGTTGTATTCTGATCTTCTACTTGGGTAAATAATAACAGAATCCCAAATAAAATACTTTTATCAAACAGAAGAAAGGGAGTGGTTTCAAGGATAAGTCACCCAAAGGAGTCACAAGACAAATCCACGAGGTCATTGTATGATAAATTTAAAAGGAAAGAGGGTAAACAGAGTTCTGCTTCACTTGGTTGTATTCAGCATGGGACAGTTTAATATTTTCTGAACCCCTTTGAGGAGTTTGGCTGAGTTTACTACCCCTCAAAGCACATGCGTCTGTAAGATCATTAGAAAGCAACACTGAATGCTGATATCTTTGCAGATGTGCAGCGATGTTTAGCGATCAATTGTGGAAAAAATTAGGACGGACTCAGAACAGACTCCTTTACAACCAGTCCGTGCTAGTCCGGTCTAGTAATAACTGTCTTTCCAAAGCATGTGCCTGAGGTTTTTTGGTGAATAGCATTCCTCTCTGTGGCAGGATTAGACATGGAGGACTCTGCCAAGCATCGGAGTGTTACAGGAGGGATCAGGAACAAATGAGTAAGGAAATGACTGACTCACCACTCCGAGACTCCAGTCGAGGCGTTCACTCTTTCGAAGCTTTCTCCAGTCAGAGCGGGGCATTAGAACTCCCCGACATGTTTTTAATTGTTGCCTCCTCGTCGCGAACATCAGCTGCATAAGCAATTAGGTTTCTGTCATCCATGTCTAATAACACAGAGATTTCGCTGGTGCGTAATTGTGGCAGCACAAAGACATCTGCCCCAACAGAAACAGTGCTCGTTGGTTAGGAGTAATCACAGTGAAAGAGAGCATGTACAAATTAGAATTTACGATATGTATCCTTTCTGGTGATGGATAATAGCTGGTTCAGCAGAAGTATGAATGCAGCGTATGAGAATTGATGACATATAATCACAGGAAAAGTACCATTATTATGATACCAGATAATTCACTGCATCCAAACAGAGACCAAAGACTGGTTGCCAATATACTTCTGAATTTATTATCTTCTTTACATGATCTCCACTGCCCGCTCAAGAGCCCACAGAAAACTGTTAGAAAGAAATGATTGTAATTCAAGGCCACAGAAGCAAGGAACCATATCCCCACAAGCAAATACAAAACAGAGTTGGTAACAGGATTGCAACACCAAAGTGAAAGCATGTCTGCCAAGTCTACACATTCAAAGACCACAAACATCAAACGGGTTTTCCAGCCTGTCAACGGGTTTCAGTGTTCACAGAGAGAGAAACAAACAGGAGTGTATCTAGTCAAGGAAAAGATGGATATTTCCATATTGGCATCTTTGTTTGTGTGTACAAATGCAACAAAGGGTCTATAAATGACTACACCATCTGCATTTTACATATGATCCATTTACAGTACAGAAATGTTGAAGCGAGACAGCATCAAAGCTTACTGAGCAGCGTACATTTTTGCCAAAGCCACAGCTTAACATCACAGAGTAAAAACGGTCTCTCAATTTGTAATTTTTCTCTTTTTTTTGCCTTTTGCTTTAGTTGTTGTTCATCCCTCTGTTCACTGTAGTGTACGCTGTACTATTTGCAATAAAAAAAAACTCATTGGCTGGGTCAAGGAAAGGAAATTTTTTTGCTGTTTGCATTTCAATCCGGCTCTTTACAGTGAAAATATCATGGCAGTAAAACGCAGCCCAGCCTCGGTTATGGCATTTTGCAGATTAATGTGAGTAGCTGACGGGAGCGCTTTGGAAACAGCTTCGAGTAGAAATGTGTCAGAGCTGACAGTTTTCTTTTTTTTCCGTTGATCCCTATTAAGCACTTCCCTCTGATTCAATAAACGCTAAAGGGAGTAGTTATAATAATCATATTCATTCTCGATCCCTTGGGATATACGTCTTTGGAACTCATAAATACATCTTCCTGTAGGCAATATATTCTCAGAAGTTTTATATTTCCAAGCTAATCAAGCACATCCAATAAAGTTTGCCTTGGAAAATACAGTCCCACGTTCAATCAAAAGAGCCACTTTGAAAGTTAATAAAAATACAATCTCGCCATTTATGTCTGTACCGCTTGATATTTCTTTTTCACTGCTTTAAGTTTTAAAAGGAACCAACACTCTTAAGTTCTGATTGTAAAACAACAGCCGCATTAGGGTTCCAGATCTACAAAAAACTCCTAGTGAGCCTCATAACATTTTAAACCGCCAAATGTACCCCTCCAGAAAAAGAAAAATCAATGAAATGATAAATATACATGGATTTTGAACCATGGCTTCTTTGATATCGCAGATTAACAGTGGGGAAGAAATCTGACTTTTTATCTCATGCTATGACAGGAAACAATCTTCACTGAGAAATTAAACTGCTGAAAGTCAAAAACACGCATACAGAAATTCACCAGTGCTCCCCCGCATGTAAGACAGTACATTTTTAAGTCTCCCTCAGTGGAGCTGGGCTACAAGTCTGTGGGAAAGAGCAACACACACTCCCCTCCATCGAATTCAGTAGAAAATATTCTTCCCCCTCTGATATCTGATGCCATATTTGGAACAACTCCTCGAAAACACCAACAAGAGAAAACACCCGAACACAGATGGAGAGACTACTGTACCACGTTCATCAAACCGTACCGTTTTCTTTTTAAAATTCATTGTCAGTGCAAAAAGGACAAAAAAACTGTAACGGCAGCTACAGTAAACATTGACAACTCCATATCAGCTGACCAGCAGCGGTTAACTGGCAAACCTGGTGTAACCCAGCCTCTTCATCACACCCCCGCACACATCCTCTATCAGTCTGATGTCCTTTCGAGGCATTTTCTGTCTCCAGATGTTGATGTTGGCTGGGGAGATGTCCCCTTCGTACATCAGATTGTACAGGTTTGTGGAGGTGGTGAATATGAGCTGATTGAGCGCTTCGGGCGACACGGGCACGCCCAGGAACGTGTGTATCGTCTCTGCTGTTTCCTGGGGGAAGTTCACCACGTCCTCGAACCTCACTTGAAGGTAGGACTCCACGGGGAGGCTCTCGCTGACCCTCAGCGCCGCTGCGGTGTGAGCCAGCCACAGATTGGCCAGAATCAAAATGGGATTTGTCTCTGAGCGGGACAGCAGCCTCTGAATTATCTTAAACTCCGGGGCGACAGCGGGGCACCCGTAACTAATAGGATCCTCCTTGAATATCAAGGACAGGTGCTGTGGGATGTTCTGGAGGGTGTACAGGCTGGGTTTGCTGTTGTAAACCATGAGATAAATCCACGCTCGTGGGTCTCTTACCAAATAGATTGTCCTCAGGGAGGGTCCCACCACTTCCTGAATGAAGGGCAGTTTAAGCGTCCAGCCTCCACTCCGCATGTTGAGGACCAATCGCGCATTTGGGAACTCTGCAACATGGCGCCTCATCTCCCTGACACACTCAGCATCTCTGTCCAAACTGGCCCTCAGCTTGCTCTTCAGCTCGGACGTTGGCTCTCTCCGTCTGGACCGTTTCTTTCTGTCCCTAGAGGTGCTGACTCTCTGAGGCAGTTTGACCCTGCTACCCTCTGCAAGCTGAATATTTTGCAAGTGCAGCTTGGTGTTGTACACCAGCGAGTGCAGCCAGCCCTGGATGATTTTAAACCGTCCATGCACTGCGTCTGTCCTTGACCACTCGCAGGCGTCCACCAGCGAGTCAAACTCAAACTCACTCTCGGGAATGTCCACGTACTCAGTGGGAACTCGTATGTAAACGAAGTCCGATCTGTTGTAGAAAAGGTGCTTGAGTATGTCCGACCCCGATCCAGGGAGGGTCGTTATGACAACCGTGGGGAGGGGGAACCTGTGCTGCTCGTATAACCTGATTTGTTTGTTTACTTCACTTTTGGCACCCGCACCTTTCCATTTTACCCCGCAGAGAAGCTGATCACAGCTGTTAGACACAAACAGGAGCTCTGCGATCCACAGAATGAGAACAGAGAGGAGGGCGTAGCGCATCAGCCTGCTGAAGCAAACATAAAACTTTCTCTGCATGGTCAGAAATCCTATGGCCACACAGAGAACAACCCCTGCAATTACGTTAACCGTAAATCCAATGTCAAATAGCTGATTATCACTACTGATATGCTTAGGGATGAGTTGCGTCCCGAGGCCGTACCTAGTGATTTGATATCTATCCTCAACTTTACAGTGACCGCCAAATCCCAAGTACGTCAACCTTGCTCCAATGTCTTTATAGTTCGTAGCTATGGAGACAATCTTTTCTGTGTTATTTATAGTTAAAGACAGCTTCACTCCGTTTTTGCTATTATCTATAAATCTGCAGTCGGACACTTTGACATACGGCCCGTGTAGCACGTATGCGACTCTGCTGACTGTGCCTGTCATTTGAAAAGTGACGTTGACGTACTGCGTCCACCTCTTTTTAAACTCCGCTGCCTGCTCTGCTTCCTGTATCCTGGTTTCGGGGCTGTGACCCTGGCTGTCGAACCAGAACATTTTATAATGTGCGTCCCACACATCCATCATCGCCCCGTTGTATCTGTCCATGACTCTTAAGGGAACGTATTTGAAGTCAATGTCAAGATTGTGGAAAAAAGCGCTGAGAGACTTCACAGGCGAATCGCTCCACTTCTCCACATGGTCGAGCACGAGCAATGTCTGTGAGTTGAGTAGAGCCAAGGCTCTGAAAACACTCTTTAGTCTCATGGCAGGGGAGTAAGCTGACACTGCTTCACCACTCACAAACATTGTGTCCCTATGTGAGGAGGCAACGATCACTTCCCCTCTGGCATCGCCCACACCATCGTCAGTCCAGCGCAGCCACTTAGCACACTCCCCTAACTGACCCTCCCATGGACTGTTGCACTGGCTGGTGGGAGACGGACTGAATATCAGAACATTGTTGAGATAACTGTACTTTGGACCGTAAAGTGCTTCGGACACAAACACCTGTCCGTTCGGAGCAAAAGTGAAAGAGTTCTGGTCGGGGTGCTCGTGCCCGGGGTTAAAGCTGTTCCAGCCGTCCACCCAGGAGTAAGGCTTGTCATGGACAATGTCATAAACTGCACGGCCGCCCAGTCTGCCCGACTTAAAGGAGACAAAGGTGTTACTCTGCCCATTGGGAAGCCCTGCTCCATAGGTAACCACGCCCCAGTTTGAAAAAACATGCATTCTCGCTTTGCCAAAGTCATGGGGCGGTTGAGGTGTGAGATGGGAATTATACCAGATGTACTCCGTGTGAAGCGTAGCCCAGCGCTGGGCGGAGGACTGTCCCATGGGGCCGTCTTTGGGTCTGTGCTTTCGAATCTGTTGCGCCAGCCAGTTCCCCGTCCCGTTCCTCATGATGAACGTGTCGAGGAAAACGAGCTGGCTCTCCGGCCCATAGAACCAATTGTAGTTGGAGTCTGCGACGCCGACGGTTCTCTGAAAGCCCGGCAGCAGAGTGGCGTAGTAAAACCAGAAGTGTTCCCGCAGCCAGTTGTTCTGCGTGTTGTCGACGTTGAAATGACGCTGAGCTAAAAAGACATACTGTGTGATGGACTTGGCCGTGTAACTTCCGTAGGCCACTCCCTCATCCAACGACCCATCGACAATATGATTGAGAAGGAACATTGTTTTCTCCATGTAGTTCACAGCCACTTGTTTCCAGATCATTGACTCTGGGTCGTTGTGCGATCCCACCACTATTGCACCAGTCAGGATAGCTAATATGTTAGTGGTTTGATGATTTTGGAGATATTGCTTCCCCCATCCTCTGTACTTGGAGAGCTCATACAGCGCCTCTGTCTCAGAGCGAATCTTCTTGAGGTAAACATCCTTTCTGCGCTCATCCAAGAAGGAGTACATGAAGTCATAAGCAGTGGCAAACCCAGTGAGAGAGTGCGCCATGGGGACCTCGTCATTAGGTGCACTGGTCACCTTCCAGTCTGGATATTCTGCCATTCTATCCATAAACTTGATAAGAAACTGCAGGGCCGCAGAGTCCTCGGGACACAGCAGACAGTAGAGAGCAAGGGGAGGCAGATTGTTCCCATAAATCTCATTCCACTTGCTAGTAAACTCCTCATGTTTCACGGGAGGCATGTAAAAGGGGACGTTAGACAGCATAGTGAGCACAGCCGCTCGGATAACTTTAAATATATGACTGTGGGTGGTGGAGGACCTTTGCCTCAAATGCGACACATCCAGTTGGTTAAAATACAGGTTGGGATGGGAACCAGCAGAGTGGAGTTTCCACTGCTCGTTCTCTCTGTCCTGTGTGAGCTTGACCTGCATTAAATCATCAGGAAATATGTCTCTGTCAGTGGTGTTGAAGACCCCCGAGAAAGCTGTCCCCACTGCGAACAGTGGCAATAAAAAAACAAAATATATAACCCAGTTAACAGCCATGCTGTGAGGCATTTGACAGCACATTTTACTAGATTAGTCCACCAAATAAGCGGCTGACTGTTGCCCCCTGTGAAAGTGGTACCTTAATGCCCCATGAGTTGAGTTATATTTCAGAGTGACTGTCCAAAAATACATATTTGTTACAGCGTGCAACAGTTTTCTTGTATGTTCCTTAAGATATCATCATGCAATAGTCAACATCCAGGGCTTGGTACCCAAGAAAGAAGCAAAAAAACTTCAGTGCAAGAGTAAGCACAGTCCACATCCACCTGTAACAATCGTCTTAACAGTTTGAAAAGGCAGCAAAACATGTCACATTCAATCAAAAACGAACGTCTGACGGTTAAAGCAGCTCTTCGTGGTCAGTTTTCAATCCAAATCCAAGTGGAAATAACAGAACGTCTTCTGATCGTCCTCAGTCCTGGTGTTAACAGGGATGCACGTTCAGACTGGCATCCCCCCCACCTCCTCCTCCTTGCCAGTAACTCATATTGATCTCCTCCCCCTAAACATTTGTTTTTTGGACGAACACCAGCTCAGCCCCAGTCCGTGTCCGGTCCAATCGCGGCCGCCCAAAAGCTCCGTGCGTAGCCCGACCGAGAGGCACCTTTCCCGGGCAGGAACCCGAGCGAGCACCGCATCCCCGGAGCCGACATCGCCTCTCCCCGCTACATACACGCCGAACTCGGCGGTGCTTCTGCGCGCAAACCCAGATCAGGAAGTCCTTCTGTTTGCATGGCTGAAGCAGCTGCTCCCCGTCCTCTTTTTTCTCTCTCTCTTTCTGCCTCCACGCTTTGTCCTCCTAAGTCAGACAAGAGGAAAGTTGTCGTCAGTCCTCAAGTATGCGAAGAATGAGCCCCTTCTCCTTATGGTCCGCAGGAAAAAAAAAACCCGAACGAAGACCGGCCCGCATGGAAATATTCTCCATCAATTGGGGGGGGGGTACGCGTTTTTGCGCGTCCAATGTTGTTTTACGCGCACGCACGGCTCACAAGTGGTCGTGTGCGTGCGGAACCTCCGGACGCGTCTCCGTTGTGAGCTCCCGACTCTTCGGCTCAGTCAGTTGGATTGTTTTCCTGCAACGGATAGGAAAATATATATATATATATTCCACTGTACAAACTGTAGAGGGAGCCGTGACTTCAGAAGCTTATCGTCACGTCTACTGTATTTTTCCCCAGAATAAAACCCAAACAACTGTGTTCCAAATAGATTGTGGTGCGTCCTCGTTATGAAATGTTGGCATAAAACTCTTTTTTTTTTTTTACACTTTTATCATTCCCAGTGCTGTTTTGTTTACAGTTAAGGTACATTTTTATACAGGTTCACACAAGTGAAAAAGTTTGGATGTGCTGAAAGGATAAGAAAATGAATAAGGGAATATAAAAGGAAGAAAAATGTGCTAAACTACCGTCTTTCCTCAAATGTGCCTGTTTTGTGTTTCAACATAATCACCAGCTGTTTACGCCTACCTGAACAAAGAACTGAGATGCACTGAAAACAATCATTTTTAATATTATTTTCAAACCCTACCCAAATTATGTAACATGTTGTGTTTACATATAACCAAATTAAGCAGTAAAATAACCCCCATTATGTTCACGTTCACTTTTTCTTTTAAGTGGCCATATTGTGGACAGAATCTACTCGGTAACTTAGTTACTATCAAGATCAAAAGCCTCTGAAAAATAACAATAAAACAAAATGTAGGGGGAAAAAAACAGAGAAAATGAGGAAAAAATAGAGAAAAACAAACTGAACCATCACTTCAATACGTTCAATTATAAGGACCAACTACAAATATACAGTAACAGGACTTTTGAGGGTACAACCCCAGTGACAAGTCTTTAAACCCATAAAGGTACAGTTAGGAGCTTTTTTTCTGAGATTGTTTGGCAAGGAGGTAGGTTGCTAAGAAAACTTCCTCTGTAAAAAATATTGATGGTAAGGTTGACCTCAAGTAAGACCAAAAAAAAAATCAAATCTCTTCTATATTCCCAACGAATGCTTACAAAACTTGAAAATGTATTCTGTAAAAAAAAAATGCATTAAGGATTCATCCTGCAAAAGAACATTCAATCGTGTTTTCCCATTTGTGGACCATGTAAAATCTATACAGAGTAATTTCTGCGTTTCCGTTGATGAATGAACGCAGAGGAAAAGCGTGCTCACAGAAGATGTTTTCAAGAGTGTTTAATAACAGAAATATGTATTTTCAATCAAGTGATGCCTGAAGGACGGAATAATAGTGGTCATTCACCACTGCTTTTCGACCTTGTCTTTTGTTAGTAGACATTTCTCTGAATTATTCTCAGGAAATATTTCAATATCATCTATTGTAGATGTTTGAATCGTCAAATTCCAAGCTATTTTTCTTTAACCTTCTTAAATTCTGGAACACTTAGCCACAAGACCTGTAGGGTTGGAAATATTTTCTATCACAGACTGGCTGCTGAGAGGTATCAGGGGATTTTTTCCTAACTGTTTATGACTTTTGCAGAATTTGGGTTCCACTGTCCAATCTATTTTGACACATGTTGCCAAAATTTTGAATCAGAACCCATTGATAACTACTTTCATAGATCCATTATCTATATAGCTTATTCCTAGGGTGGTTGGGGCTATCTCTGCTGATAGTCGAGAGGTGGACAGGTTTCCAGTCCATCAGCCTGCTATTTACTTACTTATTCAATATCAGTTTTATCAATATTCATCCCAATCAAGAAATATCATTTCAAAGTATTCAAAGAAAGGGTCCAATTTAAGACCATTGAGACTAAAGTTAATGCAAAACCATCATACTCCAATTAAAACAAGCACAACAAATCCATTTAATTCCTAAATTTTAGCTGGGGAATGTTCTGTTTTATCAGCAGCCATCTTTCAAAGTGTCAGCATGAAACTGTGACTGTACACATGTTCTCTGAGTCTTTGGCCACATCCTCGGAGTAAAAAAGCTTGTTTACCTTTCTGTGGGCTACAAGTTGGAAGCACATCTGGCTGCAGTGCGTCTCAGTGATGTTAAGGCTGCATTCAGCTCCTCTTTCTGGAACACCCAAGTTGAGGAAAGAATTGAGCTCCAATTTACTCTCGTTCCGGCCACTGTCTGTCTCTTTCAAAATGTCGTATTTGATTAAGGCCAACTGTGTTAGGGATTATTGGGAAAAAAACGGGAGAGGACCTTTTCAATCCTGATCCACTGATCAATGCCTTTGTGGTTTTACATAGGACATGCTGTATTTAATTTTTTTTAAATGGTCTTTAGCTTTCTAAATCAAGCTTGTTAAATCCAGTTTTTTGCCTCTTACAAACAAAGCAGACTATTAGTGTAAATTAGTGAGACTGTACTTTAGTTATTTTTCAGCTATTTTTTTAAATCATGCTGGAGTTTCATGATGATCTATTCCGATTATTAAAAACTGAATATTTAACTCTTTGTTCCATACGGAACCCAAGTAAATTGTCTTCTGTTAATAATCCATCTTCTAAAACCCTCTTGACTCTCAGCAGAATACGTTTGTGAAATCTGAAGCTCATTTTATTCCCTCCAGTTGCATTTACCCGTCTTGAGTGGAAAATAACTCCTCCACACGGGCTCTGAGTGCGTCCACTGCACAGAATCACTGTCCTTTGAAGTCTTCCCCCCTAAACTAACGGGAATAACATCTAATCATGTAGTCTAGCCACAGCGCTGGATGCCAAAGCCTCTGTCTGGTACTGTAGTTAACACCATCGACAGTCTCTTAAATGAGAAAATATTCAGAATGCTGAAATCATAGACCGATGTCAACAGCAGTTAACTAATACTTTTCCCTAATCTCATTCACAGATTCTTGGGATTCGGGCTGAGCAGAATGTCCTCAAGTTGTTGCTTGGCATTTGTTGCCTGGCGACACCCGCAGCAAAAACTGATGTGAGAAGAAGATGGGCGAAGAATGTGCCAACGTGGATCCAGAGCGGAAACGGTTGATTGACAGGTGACAA